ATATAATTTGTATTTTTAATTCAATCACCTACCTAATCAATTATTGTTAATATTGTAATGCGCTATATACAGTAGTGGTAGTATAATATTTCGCTATACAGTATATAATTTTATTCATTTTACTGTACGATATAATGTGACTAGATAATGTTTTATATAACTGTTTACTTGAAAAGTCGATGAAATAAATGATTAAGGTACATACAAGTATATTCAATTATAGTTATTATAATCAACTAATAACTAACACTTTTTATTATTTAAATAACTTTGGGTATTTCCCGACTTGACTTACTTTTATACTGTAAAAAATTTATATTTTTATTAGCTTTTGCTATTACCTCATTTTCACCTTGACACTTTCTATAACTGGATTATATATTATACTGTAAGAATTGAAGTATTAAATATGATATTTTTATTACAATACATCTAGAAATATATGTATTATTAAGTTACTTATATCTTGAACCACCATTAACATATTAAATTACTTATCAATTGATTACAACTTTGTAAACAATTGTTTAAAATAATAATGTGTTAATAAGTAATATTTTTATGATAAATAATTGTATTAAAATAAAGATCAACAAAATTAATTTTCTTTGATTGACTATAACATGAAGATTCAACACAAATGTCTTTTGAATAGACTTTTTATTAGAAAGTTGTCTCTAAGACCAACAGAAATATGATGATTGCTACTTTCCCTGCAATCCCAGTCCCACTGACCTTGATATTCTGCTATATAGTGTGAGCATAAAGTTATATAAATAAAATTCTACGAACAAAGTGTGTAAATAACGGTTAAGTGCTTACATATTAGCGTTTGAGTCGACCATACACTGGACATATAGCGCACAGAATCGCAGACTTTATATCGATTTTCACTGCAGTTATGATGTCTGACTAAAAAAGTGTCAAATATTTACATATAATTTTGTTTCAAATTGTGGATAATATACTGTAATTACTAATATTAATTTACTGCCAGAATTGTATGTATATTAATAGTTAATACTACAGTTACTAACCATAGTATAATTATCTAGAATTATAAGAATATTCTTAACAATATAAATCATATTAAAGTAAATAAGGAGCAAATATGATGCAAATGAAAGGAAAGCCAATTCACAACGGATCCAATCCGGAAGCCGAAACATGTTTTGGATGTGTGAAGATGACTCTCATCGTAATCCACTCAATATCCCTGGTACTAATGTGCTTCGTGGCCGTTATGTTTATCGCCGATCATAACAATAATAAAGTCGATGTCGATGCCAGTCAGTCACCATTATATCATAATTACTGAAAATAATGTTATATGAGTTTCGATCAAATCTTAACATGTTCATATTTAATGTTAACAATGTTTTGCCCAAATACTGACCAGTGTCAATGATTTTATCGAAACACTTGTAACTATTTATATTACGGAATCTAACAGAATATTCTATACAATGATTGTTTAGATGGACTCAAAACATTTATGGGAATATTTGTGATCGTGTTTACCGTGTTTGAGGTGATAGTCATCATCGGTATCGTACGTGAGGACAAGACCGTTGTATTCGTGTATCTGGTGTTGGGGGTCATTGGCATCGTTTACAACCTGTTCGTGCAGCCCATGCCCACCAATATACTCAGCATTATAGTGGTCTCATTGACCGCTTATTTTGCTTATATGATCGTCAAGAAGGACAGACAAGTCGTCTAAATATGGGCTCATTTATTACGCTTTTAGCTGAGAATTTTAATATTATTGGGTCATTCATTAAGTATGTACGGAAGGCCAAGTTAGTTAATCAACATCCTTTTAGCAAATATTCAAAAGTAGGTGTTCCTCCCCATTTTCGTAAAAGTCTGTACGTACTTATTAAATGTCAGTATATTATATTTATTGCTATATATTTTATGATAAGGAATATTCTTGAGCCCAGCTATATATAGAGTTTGCTATTGATATAAAATACTTACCAAGCTAAATCTCAATAAATATTATACTCATGATTATCAAGATTCACGTGTGGGCTCACTATTGGCGGACAAATATTTATTAGCAAATATTTTAGATTTATTTTTTCAATGTTTTATATTTATGTATTCATGGCTTAAATACAGATCAAACTGTTTGTTATATAAAATAATATTTATTACAATTTATAGCTTTATATTGTTAAATTGTTATATTGTTATATTTGTATTGTTAAATTGTATTGCATTTTGTACTCAATTATAATTAATATCATTGAACGCAAATGTTGGGATCCATTGAAATGCTTTCGACAACGAAATGATTGCAAAAATGTTAAGAATTCTGTGAATGAATCGCAAGAAATAAGTCATAATCCGGATTTCAGAGAGGAATACGGAAAGGTATCACAAGTGATGAGAAACCGAGATTTTAATAGCTTTGGAATAATTGTTGATAAATTGACAAAACGTCTAAACGAGAGGACAGTTATGCCAAATGGGATGTCATTTGTGGTGAAAAGGGGTGAATGTATGGGTTTATTGGGTTTGAATGGTTCGGGAAAGACATCACTTTTTCGGGTAATGACTGGAGATCTGGAGACAGATTCTGGGAATGTATGGATGGCCTCAAAGAGTGGACACCTTTTGCTCAATAAGAGGATAATGTATTCACGAATGGCTTATTGTCCTCA